GTATCTCCGTGTCATCCAGCGCATGGAGACCGAACTATCAGCTGCAGAAAACGGTTAATTTCAAATTCAACGAAAAAGGCAGAGTATAGTGTTATATTACTATAAGGTTTTTATTAGCGTCGCGCCCCGATTACGCCCTGGTGGTAGATTATACAAATTTGAAGAAATTTTTAACACATGTATTCTGAAATATGCGGTTTATTAATGTCTACTAAACTTTACTTATATTAAATATAGCCTATTTTATTCAGTGATCATCTTTCTAATGGCGAAAGAATTTTATAATAGAAAGTAACCTATCTAATACAAACCAACAATCGAACAGGAACAAACATACTAATATTATAAATGCGAAAGTTTAGATTTATGGACGTGTGTTTGTTAGAGTTTGAAGTCTAAACTCCTGAATGGATTTAGATGAAATTTGATATAGATATAGAAGATAGTTTAGAAGAACGAATAGGCTACTCTTTTTTGTTATTTGTTAAATCCACGCCGACGGAGTCGCGGGCGAAAGCTAGTGTATAAACTAAACAATATGTCATCAAAAAATACTATAATAATATCTCTTTTACAGATATCAAAGTGCACGTAGAATATGAAAGCACACCAAACACATACAGAGTGAAAGTGGGCGAGGGCGAGTGGCGGCGGGCGCAGGCCGAGCTGCTCCCCTCCCACCTCGGGCTGCGGCTCCTCACCAAGGTGGATGACAAGACCAGCAATGTCGGCTTCCTCACATACGACCAGGAAGTCCATGTTTACGATGAGGTTAGTATTTATCTAATAAAGAATCCTGCACGCAGGATTATAACAAAACATAACATAAGTGTACAGTTGAAAAAGCGTTGTCTTCAGTAGTATGTATTTTAAGCAATTTTTAATATTAATTTTAACCTAAAAATGGTATACTAATAGGAACTATTACAATGTACTCAAATCAGACTAAATTTTCTAGGCTATTACTACTAACTTTGAATTTTTTTAAATAAGTGAAGCTGAAAGTTAAAAAACATCAAGGGACTAAAATATATTTTAACTAGTACAACGTAACTGAGAAAAAACTAACTTTAATAAATTGTTTATAATAATGTCATGCATCTGTTGGCTAATATATCGGTTTTGTGTATACTTTTTTTTCCATTTTCCTGAGTAATTGTGATTATATTAGCTATTGTATACACTTATATCAATAAATAAGTAAAGGCCTAATTTGAGTCCCTTTCTCTTTACCACCCTTATCTTATAAGACATGATGGGAAGGGGAAATGGATTTGACGGTGGAGGAGATGCATAGGAAGGGGAAGTGAGGTGTCCTCTTTACGTGCGTCTTCTCCGTCGTCGGATAAGGGTAGGCAAAGCATCTATGGGCAGCGGTCGCTTCGCCATTTTGGCGGACTCAGGTGGCCGGTTGCTCGTTTGCCACCTCATGCTATAAAAAAAATTTAAAATGAAAAAAAGTACCATTTGTACTCTTCTCTATCATAAATCATATTGAATGTTCCAGAATGGTCAAACAGTAGTACAAATACCTCATGCTAAGTACCAGTCAGCGGGCGGCGAGGCGGCGGCCGCCGCGCACAGCGCCGCCTCGCCCACGCCCGGCGTGCTGGAGAGGATTCTCGTCAATAAGGGAGATAAGGTAAAAACTACCCTATGATTATAAACACAACATTTAAAAAAAATCAATTTCATATAAATCTGAAACCTCCCCTCTCACACTCTTAAAAAAGGGGATCTTTTAAAATTTTGTCTTCAAAATCAAGAAAAGATCTAAGATTCATGGCCTCTCCCACCAAATTGTATTGTCTGATAACAATCCAACGTGTAAAATATGTGATGGAAATATCGGATTTTGGTATTCTGACAGTGACGGCATTTTAAGCTATCTGAGCCTTATCAGCCAGTGGTGGGGCAGGCCCTTAAAGTGATTTTTAACTCTTGATTAAGATATATTTTTATAGTGATAAAGTATACATAAAAGTTTTGTCCAATTTGGCGTCATATTGCCTATGACTGTTATAATGTTTATATCTTTTTATTTTACTCGTCAAAACAGAACTGCTATTGTGTCTATTTAGGTACTGAATTTTATATCAGTGTTTGATAAATTCTAGTCAATTAAGTAAATATAATAGTATAAATTAATAAATCTCTTTTAAAATAAACTAGACTTATGAACAAAAAAATGTAAAAGCGACGCAGTACATTGATTTAAGATCGTTAAAGTAATTGTTTCATAAGTTGGTAATTGGAGCAGGTTTAATTGGCGAGATTGCCATCAAGTAATTAATGTCGGTGCTAATGTGTCTTGTCGATCACCGCTAAATGTTACTGTAATTAGTAATTGACTCTCCTTTCTCCTGACGAGAATTTAAGGCAAATGTTTACTAAACTAAATAAATAAACCGGATCTTAGTATAATAGTTTATTATATTCAATTAAAATTTTATACTTTATATAAGTTCTAGTCTTTAGTTCGTTGTAATGCAAACAAGGACATTGGAGACTTACTATTAAATGTAACAATTAAATATTTGTTGGTATTCATTTATCTAAGTTCTTATTGTCCAAAGATATTTAAAAAAATATATACAGTAGGCATAGTTAACAGTTCTGATATAGTACATTTCAGAGAAAGTACCGGTGAAGAATGTTTGTTTATTATGCCTTGTCTATATACTTCCCTAATGTCTTTAATATTGTCATGTTTTCAAGTAAAATTCTTCATAATTTAATATTGATGTAGGTAGTGAAAGGCCAGCCGCTGTTCGTGGTGATAGCAATGAAGATGGAATACGTAGTGCGGTCTCCTCGGGACGGCGTGGTGGCCTCCCTCGCGGCGGTGAAGCAAGGCGACGCTGTCGGCAAGGGGGCTCAAATTGTTGTACTCGAAAACGAAAGCTAAATGCTTTTGAATAAAGGTCATCGCTCAGTTAACATGTCTCGTTAGAACAATATTTGTTTATCGGTGCAATATATCAATCTATTGTCTTGATACAGTAAAATATAATTGTTTGAGATATAAGTTCTATGTATAAACGTGTAAATTAAGATTAAGTGACAACTTCTTAAGACAGTAAAGTTATTCTCATTTTAATATCATCCTGTGAATCGTATTGTCCTGAAAAATACAATAATGTAAATGAAGCATTTATATAACTTGTTTTTTACTAATGTATATGATTATTGATTACTTGTGTATATCCTGTAATATTAAGCGGATATATTTTTATAACTTTTTTTTACTAAATGTACGTGTATATGGTTAATCGTTCAATTTTTCAATTTAATAGTGAATATTATAAAAATGCATAAGCCAAGAAAATTGCAGGCCTGAGTTACTTCAATTGACTTCTATACACAACTTAGCAATATGATCAAAGAAATTGGTTCCATATTTTTCTGCCATGTTGTCAGGCTACAAGTATTTTTATTACTTCTTCCAATTGTACTTATATTATTAAACTTCGCATATTGGGCAATGTCATAATTTAAGGAATAAATAAATTGTATGTTTTTATACAAATTCGTTCTACTCATTTTGTCAATGTGTTAGTATCCTGTACCTTTCACTTGAAAGTAATTTGATCATTGAATTTCATAATGTTCATTGTATTGAGTAAGTTACATTAATATGCGAATAATATTTTCATCAGTCTGTATATCGGGGGCGTAGCTCAGATGGTAGAGCGCTCGCTTAGCATGCGAGAGGTACCGGGATCGATACCCGGCGCCTCCAACCAATGTTTTTGTAATTTTTTTTTCCCTCATTTTTAAAGAGGGTGTTGAAACATAAGAGGAAATTTTCAAAAGTTTTTATTGATTTTTATATTAGTTTGAATAATGGTTTTGATTATTTGAAATTATATTAATTAAATTTTTTCACGAATAAAATAAACTAAATATTTATTATATATGTTGTTTAGGTCAAATGTATATTTTTAAAAATAAATATAAATATTATCTAAGAAATGATAAAATGCATAGTAAATGTCACATCATTTGTATATCACCTGAACTATCGCGGTCTGTAATATCACTTGTGGTTAAAACAAGATATGGTTACAGTAACTAATTGTCATTTTTAAAATTAGTAAACAATTTCATAGATATTCAATTAATATTTTTGCCTTATTTATTTCATACTATCTTAAACCTTTACACGATAACTCAATAAATTAGGAATAATAAACATAATTTTCACATACTAGTATCATCTAGTACATAGAAGCTGATTTAATTTCTTTTAGAATGTAAAAATAATATTAAAACGGTAAATTAATGAATGTAATACCTGCTACTTAAGATATAAATTATCATATCGTATACTTTATCTTATTTAAAAGTGACTTTGAAAGCTATGACCGAAGTGTCGTTTATACAAAAGAGATATTATCATATAAATAATAAATCGGAATATGTTAAGTAAACGAAATTTACTCAAGGCTAGAAAGACTTGTTGCAAGTTCATAATTTCTTTCTTTGTATAAAAAGTAGTATGTGTAAATTAAAAAAAAAGAATTAATATTTGCTCTCTGAGCTAGCAACAATATGTGTATTTAGTTAGTAGTAATGCGACTTCTTAATTATATGCATACTCATATCGATAATGAAGCCATTGTGTACGTCTTTGTGACGTCATTGAGACATGTTAAGGCATCTCAGAACATCGTTTTCCTTTTGTATAAGAAAATGTTATTGAACTCGATGTAACATGCAAAATACTATCGTAACTTATAACTGAAGTAAATAATTCATTATGTAATCGAATTGTTTTATCAAACGTACAAATTGTTTGAGATAAATATCAAGAGGTTGATAAATCTTTCTGATCTTAGTGTTGCTATGTTGAAATAACAAACTCTTATTCCCGTAATAAAGTGAATTTATTATAGGTTGAATCTGTTTAACTGATAGATGGCACTTGGTGATTTCCAAGGTCCAATTTAAATAACCAAGCATTCGGGTATACACGAGAGTTCATTGACATACAAATCTACAGTAAAATAACATTTTTACAATCCCATTACGTCATGTTGATTAATTGTTGTTTTAAATTTTTAACCTGTGGACGTTGGCCAAATTCTATTCTTGAACAAGTGATGTGACAAAAGAAAAACGAAGAAAACATTGTTGCGTAGTAGTAAAGAAAACATTTCGTTAAAACTATTTGGTACCCGCGATCATCCGCTTGGAAGATGAATTTTACAATTAATCATTATTACAGGGTTTTAACATTACCGGCACCGTGGTCGAGATGCCTAGCAATATAAACCCATACACCGGTAAATGCATTATCCCATCCACTCCGTTACCAGGGTTGTTGTCAGTACATTTAAATATATGTTGAGGGTAGATAATAAGTTAATAAGCTTGTCGTTTTATTACGTATACGTAGGATTACAAGATATAGTTATCTTTCTTATAAATTAGTTAAAAGACATTTAAATTAAATCGAAAAATAAAGTGTTAAAAGTCAAGAAGTAAAAAGTTAGAACATTGTTGTGATAAACATGAAGATGGAAGCCGTCCTGCTGCCGCCGCCATTTTATTTTAATAATCTAGATAAGGTATTTACGCGAAATTTCTGTAAAGACTGGGAAAAATGAAAAGGGCGTTTACTATTGACTATGAATCATGTAAGTAATTTTTACATTTTGTAAGAGAAAGATGTCGCGGAGTATTCATACAATTTAATCAATACTACATTAACCGAATTAACATTACAAAAAACTTCTGTTTATCAAAATTACAAGCTAGAAACATAATCTATGACTTCTTTTCTTCGATATGACATATGTAACATTGTTATGGGTTATCATACTCAGGAAAAACCATTGACAGAAGGCGATAAGTCCGTGAGTAGTTCCGGTGTCTCCAGATTTGGTAGCGGACAAACCCAACCACAAGGCTCTTGTACATTCTTTAATTTATCTGTATTTGCTTATATGTGCAATTAGATTGTAGAGAAAATAGAAGAAAAGCTGTAGGTTTGTTTATTCAATATTTATACATTGTTATAATTTAATAACAAAAAATGTTAGTTACTTATGCTTAAGTTTACTGTTTTAATAATCAATGAAAACTTACAACACATTCAATTTATGTTTAATAAAGAGCATACAGATTAACGAATCAAAATAACTAAATTAAGAGAAGCAAACCGGTTGCACTACAGGCATATGTGGTTACTGGTTGAACATGCGTTAAATGCCTAACTATCAAGTTACAAGTTTCTATTACACCAAGAACACTTGACTTCCTTTACCTGTTTTAAGTAATTCAATTGGTACGGAAGACTACTAACATTATACTTCTCAGTTCTACTTTTAAAAATTGATCCAACTTTTAATAAACAAGTATAATAAAAATAACCATCGTGGTCTCTTCCCGAAGGGTCGGCACAGAACGTAAAACTCTCCCATATGTTCTCAGACATCTTTAACACACCTCACGCACAATCTGTTCGTACCGAAATTAGAAATACGTGAGGGTGAAGGGTTAAATGACGACGTTGAGGGTAAAACGAGTTGTAAGGCAGTCATTCTTCCCGAGTCCAAAACCCTTGAGTTAAAAAAATACTTTTAGGAGAACACCGAAAGCAATATTTTCAACTAGGTCTTAAACTTCAGGGAAGGCCAAAAAACGCAAGTTTTAAAAATACAAAAAGTTTTAAATCACGATCTTCCTCCTCATCCTGCTCCCATAGGGTTCGCTCGACAGGTTTTTACATAACTATCACACGTCATCTCAGTCATCACTTCCTTCTTGATCATGTCACCATTCACGCAATCCATCTATCTCTTTCTAAAATTTCAAATAATTGAAAACTTCAAAATAGTATTTAAAACTCGCATTATAAACCTTTGCAAAATTTACCCGCGGGTGCTTAGTATCAAACAATTCACATTTATTATAACTGGAAGGCTTCGTTACCTGCGGAGGCTCGTCCGCCCCTCGCTATACTGGTTTGTTGACGTTTTTTGTTAACATTCCAACAACAGCTGATCGGTACAACAAACCAGCCCATGTGTTCATCTCCACGCCGCCCCATTGGCTCCCCACAACCCCTATTTACGTAGTGCATTAAACTCGACTCCCTGTATGCTGAGATTCTGAGACCTTTCAAGTGGAAATAAAACTGTACTATTCAAGTTGTTATTAGATTAGAAAATTCTTTCATCTTTCATTTCTTCTGTAGAATCATTTAAGTACAATTAAGTTAATGTTTTTTTTGATCTTTTGTTTTATTTTCATTCATTTGGCGCAACTTAAACGCAAAGCATTTATTTATATTTGGTCCGGATTGATTTTATTTTAAAGGTTAAGAGGTTATTTCTAATGCTTAAATAATATAACAAGGAAATAACATTTAATTGTGCAGGAATCGATAATTTAAAATCAAGGAAACGACGTTTGATTAAATCACTTCAAAAATGTAAAACAACTCTCATTTATGTTTACAATAATTTGGTCGTTAAACTAATCACCTCATTAATTAATATTGAAAAGACTGGTTGCAATTAATTCTAGTAATTTGAGTATTTTTGGTAACCTTTAAATGGTCAGCTTACTTTAACATTCCATTCCCTGTCCCTGGTATTTGTTACATTACGTTAAAACATTATGAGTTATTACAGATGTTTATAATTGTGATTACCTTAAAAAGCTGCACTAAACAGAAATATGAGATAGTGTTTTTTTTTAGAATTTATGCAATCTTTTAGACTTTATGATATGCAAGTTGGAGTTCTCTTGCGACTTGGGCAAGAATAATCAATGCACATTAACTACACAGGGCCAAAGTTAAACATACGAGTATACATACCTACTTCTCTTTTTGTCAGACCATATACTTGGCAAAAAGAAAAAAACAGACGAGAAACCAACCAGTAACTTTTAAGAATTTCAGTCTGTGCGAGTCCAAAGATCTTGGTTCCTTGCATGAAAAGGGTTAATAAAATAAATTAAAACATAATGTAACAAGCATAATGGCTGCCATATTGTCAACGTATAAATAAAAAAAACTAAAAAACGATTACGTTCAAAGAACAAGGAGTGAAACGTGCCTTGAATATTTTTATTGCCGTTATAGAACGTGATTGTTTCACGGACGTGATCTTTCTTATAAATATCGATATTTTGAAATGTAAACAGAAGAAACGACCTCAAGTTATGAAAGATTTTATTGGCTTATCACTACTACAAATACTATCGCATTGAACTATACAGAATTAACATGTCTAAGTAATATCTCTTTCATTATTATTCTTGTATTTGTTGCTATATTAAAAACTATTTTAATTTCCGAGAGCTTAACTGGAAAACATGTCAAAATCACAGAAAATGTTCAATTTAATAACTTTCGTTTTATATTTATGTAACAAGTTCTACGCTCATTGTTACAGATAAAAGCTAACAAATGCAACTATGTCTAAGTAATCCTTAGAAGTACAGATTAACTAATGAATTATAAATATGAAATCCTGTTCAAATTAGCTTGTTTCAAGTTAGGCTTACAATGTAACTCATTAAAAAAAAAATCTATTATCACTATCGGAATGTTTCAATTGCACGTGTACGTGCTTATTTTATATTTAATACGTGCATTTATATTGAAAATCGGACAATATGTAAAGCTAATGAAATATGTACTACATATAACATTGTAATAGGCTTACACGCTTACATTTGGTTATCTTTGTCACGATTTTTACAATATCGTATTGCATTATAGTATACATTCTGGTTGCATTGGTTAATACCAAGGTAACAATATGTTGCTAAGATTCTAAAGTCCTGTCCCACCAAATTGTAAATCGTCTGATAACAATCGAACGTGTAAAATATGTGATGGTAATATCGGATTTTGTTCCCTTATCTGGCAGTAACGTCATTTTTAAGCTATTTAAGATAGATGCTCACTATCAGCCAGTGGTGGGACAGGCCCTAAATTTATTAGCGTTACAATGGTAGAGTTCAACCTTGTCCTTGCACATTTTAGTTAAAAAAAATAAGCAAGGAACCCATGGTGGATATATAAACTAGCTTTGAAATTAAATCAATAATGTTCTATAATTGTGTAGTTGCAAGCAGTCTTACTTTGATTCGTTAGCAAATCAAGTTGTTAAAATACAATTAACAATGTGTTGCATTTAAATCGCAGTTGCACTGATTGCCTTTTCGTGATTTTAATAAAATTATATTTAAAACTGTCAAGCACTGGTAAAAAATGTTAGTTGACAACTTTAGTGGCGTTCTAAGGCGTTGGCGTTATAATAAAACATTTTGTACTTTTGAAAGGTTTTTTCTCTTTGACTTTTAATGAAAAGGTCATTTAAAGACTTGCTACGCAATTTTGCATTGAACATTATTCGATTCTTCAATCATAACTCAAATAGTTATGATTGAAGAATCAAATAATGAACGAGTTGAACTTCGGTTAATTTTATTATTTAACTGCAACAGGTGCAGTTTCAAAGTTATCTTCTTACGCGTAAATTGGACATAAATTGTAAGTTTTGAACACAATTTGTAATTGTTAATTTAAACGAAAATTTCGTAGAGCCAAGTTGTAAGCAAACGCTTGTCGCAGCACGAACACAAGGTATTGTGTGAGCATATATCAATTATATAGTTTTTCCTACGTATTATATGGTCGGATAGTATGTTTACAGATTAGGAATCATCAGAATATTTATATGCAGACATCAGTGCAATTGTGTTTCAGTCTTCAACAAAGTTACAAACAGATGGAATAAATGTGCAGTATCTATGATTATCGTAAATATTTGAAAGTTTTGTGTCATCTTTGTTGGTCAGTAAATACGACTCATGTACATTTATGCTTACAATTTGTGATACTTTAGATTATTATTGAATTGGATATGGATTCGTGAAATTGGAAGAAATGAAAATTTTCAATCGTTCGACCTAATTATTCAATAGGTATGTGCGTAAGTGTAACGAGGTCACGTTAATAGTGTTGCATAAGTGGGGTGCATCTGCTTGACATTTGAATCGACCCCGAATCCGAATAGAAACTGTGTCATGAATTAGCCGGCGACCGGCGAGCGAGCACCGGCCGGCCGGCGGCATCGGGCGGCGAGAGCAGCGGTGCGTTGTGCAACGCCTTCAGCGCCGCGCCGCGTCAGCACTCCGTTCCACCTCCACTTTGCGTTCCACGTGCGAGCCGGCGCGCCCCGATGCCGGCCGTGAGCGCCCTCACCGCTCTCCGCTGGCCCTCGCGCCGACCCGGCCCGAACTGCCGTACCTCTCCGTCGGCCGGCGAACGCCGCTCCCTCTCGCACTCCCACCGGCCGCCGATCTCATCTACTCCCTCGAAACAGCTGAGTATCAAAACAAAGAAACGAGACGGACGGTCGGCGCTCCTGCTCGCCGGCCGGCCGGTGTCGCGACTCGCGCCGCACGCACGCCAGTTCTCGTCTGAACCGTGTCTATTGAGGTCGTTCGTTGCGAGCTAGCGCGTAAAGTTTGTTGTCGCGAAAGGATTTCCCTTTGTCCCGATCTTCGAGGACTTCGCCTTCGTATTATGTTTCCGCGCGAGAGCCGCGATCAGCCTCGGCCCACTGAAGAGCCGAACCTCATCCGGCGTACAGAATTGCGTAGGAATTCTAGCGATTTTCCAAAATTCTGTTACGGATACCCCACGAAACGCGTTCGCCGGGCGCTTTGAATTTTCTGTGTGAACTCGTGAAAGATACTAGTGTGGACGAGAGGACCCCTTTTAGTGCGTATAGTGAAGTCGCGCCGAGCCAACAGGACCGGCAGCGCCATGTCGACCGGCAAGCGACTCGCGAAGCGCTCCATCATCGGGACGCGCGTCGCCGCGCTCGCTGAGGATGGACTGTACTACTCTGGTATGATTCAGGCGGTGAAGACGCCGGCGCCGTTTCCGGAGAACAACAACTGCATAAACTTGACGCCGAACACTCGGTACACTGTGCGCTTCGACGGCGGGAAGATGAGCCGCGAGTACCGCGATGCTGAGCTGATCGGGCCCGGCTTCCGCGGGCTGGTGGGCGTGCGCCTGCAGCCCGGCCAGCGCGTCTTCCTCACACACAATGGCCGCGAGGTGCGCGCCGATGTCCTCCGCCACGACTACCAGACCGACGAGCTGCGCGTCCAGGTCCACTCACCCACAGCTGAGGTCAGTACAAATATTACTGTTTATTATATTAAAAGTAAAATAAGAGGAAACTTTAACTTATATCTAATAATAACTTTGAATGAGTTATAAATATCTTGCTTGAACGCAACTTTTGAAAAACTTATCAAGTAGTATCAGTCGATATGGTGATTAATTGTCATTGGCACCGATGTTGACATTGGACAAACTTTGCATGAAGACAAAGGCTGGTCGTGTGGGGTGAGCTGGCGACCCGGCATGGCACCGCGCACGTGCAGCACGACGCGGAGCCGCACGCGGCGCGCACTGCGTTGCGCGACTATCGCATGATACCTTATCGCCCTTTGTTATTTGATTGTTCTACGCTTATTCAAGCAAAATGTTTGTAATATAAATTGCCAAGAGATCCACATCCTATCTATCACGTGGGTACGTTATGATTTCTTATTTCCCGTGTTATGGTGTCAATTTTCCAAGTTAGGTTTATCCCATGCTGTAGTACAACAAGGAAGAAGACCGGATCAAAGAGCGTTCGTCACTGGGTAAATAACATGTTTTGTTTATGTGGTTTACGTAAGCGCCGGCGAAGCACACTTGTTTACCGGCATATAGCTAACCGCAGTGTCACGACAACTATGCACGACGTCACCGATACACGAGTATTTTCGAATTAACACCGTGTCGCACGTGAACGTTTATCGACTGTTAGGCGTCATTCATAAAATAAGTATTCGATTAGATAGTTTAATAATAAGACACGATTACATTAATGAGTAGCCACCAATAACCAAAGGGCAACACGTAAAATTGATTTAAAAACAACCCTACAGATGTTAACATTGGAGATGTTTATTCATTCTCACGGTTTTCTCACAGTCTTTGTTTCTACGTACGTGAAAGATTGAGCAAAGGCCAAGCCTACGTGTAGGGAAAGAGTCGCACGCGCATCGTCCTCCATGGCCGTTACCCGTCGCCCGCCGGCCGTGCCTCGTACGCGAGTAGATACGTGCGCTTGAAATTCGGTCACGCCGACACCGTTACCACAAACAACTGTACATAATTGGATTAAGATTTTCCCCTGCGCTTACGCATGTCGACTTGGAACACTTTACACAGACAGAATTCTTTGTCATATTCCATAAAATGTACATATGTAATCGTATAAGTCATTAAATTAATTAAGTCATTTCTAAACACGATAAATTTGATCAAAAGTCTTTACAGTTGCGGTCAAAAATATTTTAGGCGACTCTACATACCAGATTTTAATTTTTTTTAAGTTGCATTCACAACGGTGTTAGTAAGCTCTTAGTTCCGGTCGCCGTGTTACCGGTTACAACAAGGTCGATTAGGGCAACTTACTGAGGTTAATTTTAATCAGTTGTCATCCGGTATTATTTTGTAGGAAACCCAAATGTTTGCTTCATTGAAAAGTTTTGAAATATATAATAATATATAATATACAATTAAAATCATTAATAAAACCATTTAGGACATCAGATACCAAAAGTTAACTCTTTTCACACTTTTATACTAAGATCTGTAAATGAGGTTAAGGAATTTTAACTAAAGTTTCCGTTACCTCAGTTAATACATAAGAAAGACTCAGATTCCGACATTTTACGAACAGAAATCTCAAACTGAAATAGAAACAAGTATACCGTCATCGTTTAAAGCTATTTTTAAAATCTTACGTTAAAACATTATTGTTTTACAAAAGCCGGCCGGCGCGGCGCAGCGCGGCGCGGCGTGGCGGCGCGCGACCACAACCTTATCACGCCAAATAATACAATACAAATTACTGTTTTAGTGATAACAGATAAATGTCATTAGAAATCGATCATAAGACTTCGAGCCCCTTCGCCATATCGCCCGGCACTTTCGATTATGTGATAACATTCCGCTTGACCGTGACATGGTTTAAAAAAATTATAATAAAAATGAAAATTAAACGTTATCTGATTGAAACTAACGAGCTCTAGGTCGTAAAAATATGTTTGTTTTACGATGATAACGAATCTATTCATAATCACTATGTTAAATATAAAGCTTTATATCAAATCGAAAGAATATCTTTTCATTTATGATGTAATAAAAACTTAAAACTCTCTTTTATAAACATAATATTGTTAGAAAGTCATATCCTATCCCTGATGAAACGTTCGGTAGCGTTGCATTCGATTCGGAAGTCGGCCTCGCGTGCGTAGGCATCACACACTGTGATCCGTGACGTCACGACGAGGCCCGCGCTCACACGGTGACGCCAACACGATCTCTCATTCATGGCCGAATTGCAACTCCGTTGATACAAACTTGAATTGTCACGTAATAATTATCACAAATATTTAGTTGCTAAATGAAGACATTTAAATATAATCGTATTTTGTTTACTATCCTGGCATACGTATTACTGTTTAAAAAATCGTAAAGGTCAATGCGCACATTGTTTACATTAATAGCGCTTGTGTCAGATAACCGGCGACACAGATAGGCAATAGTTTACGTCACAGCCCGCCGCGGCGCTAGTCGCGCGCCTCTCGTCACTTGCATCAAAACAACTTAATAAGATAACATAATATCACTGTTTACATCCCGACAAAGTGCGCATTATTGTTCCTGTTGTAATGTGTTTTCATAATTATTGCATATAGATATACTGCGCAGCGATTTTAATTTTCCTCTATTGCACAGCAAAAGCAAAATGTCTCCAATTATGAAACTTTTGTGTCAAGGAAATATGCGGTGCTAAAATATTGTATCATTTGACCAAAACGATAAATAACATTATGATAGCGGTCAAGCATTAAGAAAAGAAAAAGTTTTACAAATGTAGCGATCATAAACATAAATAGTTTTTCAAGCTCAAAGCAGTAATCATGGCGTATAGTCGGTAAATGGAATTGCATATAGGAAATTACGTCGGCCCCGGCCTTTTTGCGAGAAAATAATTATCAGTGGTGACGCGGTATTCCCCGGCGAGTGAGGCGAGCGGCGTCACACGTAATTGCACTGTGCTACGAGTGACGGCAAAGCACTCGCTACGCGGAATCGCCTCAATCGAAACTGATTGGCCACGCCTGACTCACACCGACCGAACTCGCTCTACGTTCTTTTTACGACCAAAACAAAGTTTATAGCCTACGTTAGATCAGCACACTATTTAAATACAACCAGCTTCTACTATTACGTATTTTGAATCGACTTTTTTATTCGGTAATATACCTAATAATAATAACTATGTATATACTGCTAGTGGCTTGCTTGCGCTTAATTTAACATTCTTTATGTCTTTGTAGCTATAGGGGTTTATGTGGAAGATTGCGTTTTCTTCGCATGAATAGATCGTCGACCATATATCAAGACGTTATCAAACACCTTAGTAAATTATTATATTTCTAAGCTGATTTATATGCATGGCTTTCGTTGCTTTCTCCTAAAATACGAAAATCAAGAGATTTTAAGCTATTTACTGTTGACAACTGCTAATTTTGCCTTATTGCATACAATAAAATTCGCTATATAACCACCGCATAGTACTCTGGCGTAACTTACAATTTGACTGTGTCAAACGCAATAAAAATACGTATCTAACAGTTAATTTAAAGCAAAAACCTAATTACTACGTTGCTTTCATCATTAAATTGATGACTAAAAGCGACTTGCGTTCATTATAGCGAGATAATGTGTCAGGGCAGAGAGATATAAAAATAAATAAAGAACTCTGCGACTGCGCGCTCGAGAAATAAGGACGCCGGCCGGTCCGGAACAGTGTAACGGTATATATTACAAAATCGCCTCAAGAATTATTTTCACGTGCGCGGCGCGGCGGGACCGTTAGCCCGCAGAGCCCATCAGCGAAGCTCACCGCCTCACCGCCTTACCGTCGCCTCGCCGCGCTAAGTAGAACAACCGCTAATGTCCAGATTGCCTCGCTTCCCAGAAACATTGCCGGCAGAAGCAGTCAATATCGTACACTGATGACCGTGCATTGAGGCAGGTCCATTATGCCAATATCAGTTTAATTTAAATCTCGTAATTGCATTTTGAATTAAAAATTGTCAAATGAAAATAAAGAATGATAGAATACATTTCAAATAGAGAGAATAATATAATTAATTTCGCTATACAAAGATTCAAAATATTTAATTGACATTTAAAGACGACACTTTGAATTAATGGATCAGTTATAGAAATAAAAAGTTTCGCTCGAATGATTTCAATGTTTTATTGACTACGCTTAAATTTAATATTAATAGAGATGTTTTGATTCATGAAATTGTAATTTCTTAACACCACCATGTTGCAGACAATTTTTACTATTATCTACTTTTTATTGGTGCTTAGAGATTACTCAGAACTGGACGCATTACACATTATTGTAATTTAACGTAGTCATAGAACCTATTGCTCGACGTTCGAAGTAGGCTATTTACGTTACGTAAACGTTGTGATTTCCCTGCATTTGCAACCGCGCCTTTCGTTCGCTGAGGTCGCAAGCGCGGGCGCGGCGCGGCGCGGACACGGCGCGGGCACGACGCGAGTGTGAAAGTGCCTCACTACGCGGCCATGTACCGTTTCAGATTCACTCACTCACTTTTACACAATACATTGTTCCGACCTTTACAACCTGACTTTGTTTTAGACATAACAAAGCTTAGCAGTCTCAAAGAATTTGAAATATTGAGTTTAGTTATTACGTAATTATAAAATACGTTTCATGGCCACTGAGCTTTGGCCACTCTTGCGTCAAGCAACTATTCCCTAAGATTATAAAAAGAAATGTAATAAATTTCTACATTTGTAACTAATTTTTCAAACTTACTGTCACCTACTTGTATTCAAGGTCGTTGTCTTCGAAATGTAATAAATCTAACGTGTGCTCAGAGCACGGAGTGTCGTGAACAATTGTAACTGATAATTACATTCTCTGTAATGAATATCGCATTTGTTACTTGACGGTGAAAGTATTTATGATTTAAAAGCGAATGTATGCGTTTTTTCCACTCCACTTACTTCGTATG